GGGTCCGGCTTCCAGGACGGCCTCGCACTCAAAACGCCTGGTGCCGAGATCGCCGGGGCAATTGGTCCCATAAAGTGCACCCCGAGCTGGCGTTGGGCTGGTGCGGCTGGCGGGGCTCACCCACACGGGCGCTCCCTCCCTCCCGCAAATGGTAGGTTTCCTCTCTGCTCGGCCGCTCTTGGCAGGAGGTGAACCCCAAAGCCCTGGCTTCGCACGGAGGGGAGCGCATCCCCCACGTGTGGGATGTGCTTCAGATACAATGTTGCAACCCTGAGGCCACCCAGCAGAGGCTGCTAACCCCGGGGATGCGGGGGAGCTCGGAGGGGAGGGGGCCCAGGGCAGAGGCGCGTGAACCTCAGCAAGTCCAAGGTCCAAGCCCACGTGAGCACCAGGAACCTGATGCCAGCAGTGAGCATCGTTCCGATGGTGACAGTGATGCCTGTGATAGTAAAACAATTGCCCTGGTGTGTGAGTGCTCACCACGTGCCAGGCAGGCGGGGAGCAAAGCTTTTATGCATATTGTTTTGTTATTTTTTGAACATACAGTTTTATCGACTTCAGAGAGGAAGGGAGAGGGAGAGAGAGAAACATCGATGATAAGAGAGAATCACGGACCGGCTGCCTCCTGCACGCCCCATACGGGGGATCGAGCCACAACCCGGGCCTGTGCCCCGACCGGGAACCTACCAGTGAGGTAGACGCTCAGCCACGGAGCCACGCCAGCCGGGCACGCATGTTGCTTGTATGTCATCTCCATAATGAGTCCGTGCGGTGGACACGCGTTACACAGGAGGGAAACCGAGGCCGTGAGTGGCTGAGAACTTGTCCGACCAGCCTGTGCTGCCAGTCCTGTCCTGTTTCCTGGACGGGAAGCCCCCCTCTCCCCTGAGAGCCGCTGGGTGAATTATTCAGCGAGCGCTGGGCCTGCCCACGGCGCCGCGGAGTATCGGGTGCCGGGGAGCCGAGCACCTAGCCTGCCAGCCTAACGGTCCGGGGACAAGACCGCCACGTCCCCTTGTCCGGAGGCCGGACCCACTCTCGGCTGAGATGACCACCGACCCGCGTCTGAGCAAACACGTCTGGACAGAGCATTCGGGTCCTGACCCACCCCGAGTCGCGTTGGACTCGAGGTCCGGCGAGGGGGCTGCCGCCCTGGGTGGGGGTGACAGACGGAAAGGGGCAGAGGTCGCCGCTGCCGGACCTCTGTTGCCGTTTTATTATGCGCTTACCACACACCAGGCATCGGACTGGCTGCTTTGGAAACTCCCATGTCACGCTCACGCCAAGCCAAGGCTTTGCCCCATTGTACAGGCGTGGAGACTGAGGCTGCGGCTCGCCCAGGGCCACGCGGGGGGCGGTGGCGGGGAGAGGGAGCCTCTGGGAGGAACAGGCCTTCCTGGCTCAGCGCCCCCCCCTCCCCCCCCCCGCCCGGGAAGAAACGGCTCCGGGTGCGAGGCGTGTCCAAGCCACAGCCTGTCACGGCCCAATGTTTCTCAAAAGGATGTTTAGCGGCTGCCTTTCCTTCGCTTTTATTTTCTCAGCGGCGGCTCCCTCCACGCCGACCCTTCACTCCAGACATGGCGGTGGTGTCACAGCTGGTAATTTTAGGAGGAGGAGGAGAGAAGGAAGAAATAGCCTGAGTGGGAAGAAGGTGAGGGAGGGAGGGAGGAAGGGCGGGCGAGGAGCGGGCCGGCTCGTCCTGGTCCCGCCGGGCTCCCTGGGCCGGCCCCGGCGCCAGCGGCTGCTCTCGGCTCCCCCCTCCCTCCCCTCCGTCAACTTTTCACCCCACGGCCCCGCAGGAGCCGCCCGGCCCGCGTCCACACAGAGACGCCGGGCACCTGGGAGTCAGTCCATCGTCTCAACCGGCACTGACCACGGAAGAGGATATTTCCAACCGTTTTCCCACGTGGGAGAGGAAACCCCTTATTTACTTACTTACTCATTGAATATATTTTTATTGATTTCAAAGAGGAAGGGAGAGAGAGAGAAACATCAGAGAATCATGGACCGGCTGCCTCCTGCACGCCCCGCACTGGGGGTCAAGCCCGTGTCCTGACCGGGAATCGAACCATCACCTTCTGGTTCATAGGTTGATGCTCAACCACTGAGCCACACGGGCTAGTGAAAAACCCCTTTTACATAAACTTTCAGCAAAAAATACCAGCGTGGCGACGCCCACACTGGATCGAGACCTGCACACCCGACCATCAGCGGGGAGTAAGCACAATGCCAAGTTCTGAACTCTCCATCCACGTGGGAGACCCGTTCGTATCCTGCGTCACAACCCAGCCAGGCCTCTGGGCAGAGTCTACGAACCGGCGAGGCTGTCGGTGGCCCCGGACGTGCACGGGGAGGGGCCGCACGGGGGCAGAAACCCACAGCCGAGCGCCTGCCAACCCCGCCTCTTGGACCTGCCACGTGCCCTCGGCAGCTGGGGTGGGGCTGGAGGGGGGCACGGCCAGGGAGCTGGTGGCCCGGCCCCAGCAGGGCCGACTTCACGCCCAATGTGGGGAACTAAACGGCGAGCATATCCGTGCCGCCTGCACCCACACGCGTGTGAGGCCGGGCTCTCGCACTGCCGTCACACGGACACGAGCGACCGGCTCAGACCCTGACCCGCGGCGGAGTCGGCTGCCCACGTGGGCAGGAGCTGCCAAACCCAGCGCAGCGCGGGGCCCGGCGGGCGGGGGACCTGCTTTGGCTCTGCTCTTCTCTCGGCAACTCAACGCAGGATCTCTCTGTCAAGACGCCCCACACGGCAACACACAGCCACGGTCACACGTGCGGTTTGACGACAAAACACGTCTCTAAGCCTTTGAACCGGAGGCAGACCCCACGGGCCACACGGAGAGAAAGAACTCACTCTCCTGGGCCGTTCTGCCATTTCCGCAGACCGGGAGCTCCGTGCTGGACAGGAGAGGTGGCCGGGCCGGAACCCGCCTCAGGAGGGCAGTCTCGCCCGCCCTGGAGCCGGAATAAGGCACCTGACACCCGCCAAGCCCCCGAGCCTGAGGGCATCGCATTGCCTCTGTGACCTCAGACCTCTAGGCACCTGGGTGAGGCAGGTGCAGAAACACCCATTCTATAGATGGGCAGACTGAGGTTGTGCGCATCACCAGTCAGGGCCAGGGCCGGGTGGGGATCTGGAGCCCTGGGACGGGAGTCCTGGCAGCGTCCACTAAAGTGTGGCCACCCAACCTCGCCCAGACCGCTCCCTGCCACCCCGCCTGCAACACCAGCCGCACCGTCCCGCTCCCTCTGCCGCCACCCGACTGTCTCGGAGACCTGCCCGGGGCCGTGGCACGGCTCCCCGGGGGGAGCAGCTTCCCCAGAGGGGCCAAGCCCCCTCCTCAAGGCAAAGCGGCGTTTCCCACGCTGGTGCTCCACGTGCAGGAGCGCGGCTGCCGAGAGGGACAGGCTGGAGGCGCCATGGAGGGCCGGCCCCCAGCGGGCGCCCTCTCAGAGGGGCTGGGCGTGCGGGACGGCACCACCGGCCACTTCCCGCCGCCGAGTGCTGGGGAGTCACACCACCTCAGCCCCTGAGATCTGTTTGCGAGGAGCCCGACGGCCGGGGGACGGACTGTGAACATTTACACAGAGAACGGGGAAAGGCCGGGAGCCGTAACTAACTGGTCGCGGGGCTGTGGGTGCGAATCCTCCTCCTTCCTCTGCTCTCCTACATCTCACACTCCCTTCACGTTGATCAGGAAACCACATCCTGACATTTAAAGCGATGAAGCCACCAGCCCGCAGTGTTCGCTGAGCTCCTGTGCCCCGGGCCGTGTTCCCAGGGAGGTGACAGCCGGGGCGGGGAGGAAGGAGCTGACGCGTCACTGTGGGCAGCGGGCTCCCGGTGAGCACGCCCCCCTCCGACGGGGATGTCAGAATCCTCGCCAGCGAGTCAGCACCGAGGCACGTGCCCCGCGGATCAGACCTGCGTCTGCTCGGCCCAAGCGCCCGCCGCAGCCTGAGGTAGGACCAGAGCTGCCCTGTGGGGCCGCGGAGGCAGCTGGTGTGGGTGGAGCGCCAGGCGGAGGAGCAGGCGACGCACATTCCTCCAGCGCCTGAAACGGAGCCACCTCGCCAATGAAATGCCTGCAGCTGTTGGGGAGGGAACGCTGGCCGGCGCAGGTGCTGATTTAGAGCCCCGCCCTGCTCACACGCATACACACGCTCACATGCATGCACATGTACACACGTACAGACACACATGCATATGCACGGACACACACACACAGCCAGAGCAGCTCTTGCTGGACCATGTGGAGGAGGCGGCGGATGGCGAGAAGGCGCGTCTCTCCCCGTCCCTGTGGAAAGCCCGTGTCCCCTTTAAAGCTGTGAGTGGCGACTGCGCCCAAATCCCGAGAAAACAAAGTCGCTTCAGGCCGCCATTGGGCTGGGAAGCGTGGGGACCCTCCAGGCCTCGGCACAAACAAACCAGATTCCAAGCAGAGGCGTTGGGGCTCCAGGGAGACGAATGGCCGACCACGGCCTCCGACCCCACGGTGCCCCCGCCAGCGAGCCGCTCACGCCTGTGAAAGTGAGTCGATGGGGCCAAGGACACGAGAAAAGGCGTGAGGCGAGCCCAACGGCCCCCACGCCTCCGCCCCTGCCTCAGGCTCCCCCGCGCTCAGCCATCCTGACGGCAAGCAGGTCCGTGTGGCCCAGTGGTTCTCAACCTTCTGGCCCTTTAACTACAGCTCCTCACGTTGTGACCCAACCACACAATTATCTTCGTTGCTACTTCATCATTGTCATGTTGCTACTGTGATGAATCGTCATGTAAACATCTGATATGCAGGATGGTCTTAGGCGACCCCTGTGAAAGGGTCATTCGACAGCCAAAGGGGCCGCGGCCCACAGGTTGAGAACCGCTGGTGTAGGCAATTGAGGTGGAAAACTAGCTTCTCACACCCGCCCGTCTACGTGACTGACGGACAGAGCGGAGGGGACCCCTGGGGAGGCCGACCCCACATTCCAGGGAACTGGCTCTGACTTACCTCTCCTCGCGGGAGGCCTCTGGGACCAGGCGGGGGTCCCCAGCTTCTTCAGGTCCTGGAGGTGAGGCGACGCCTGCCTTCCTGGCCGCCGGGGGAGTGGGCAGCTGGGGCGTGGGCTGCTGGGGCCCCTCGGAGCTGCCCGGGCCCCCCTGGTCCCCTGGCGGTCCCCAGGCGGCAGCCACCGCAGAGGGCATCTTCATGGCACCTGCCCCCGGAGGGTCACCAGGCGCACGGGCCCCGGTCTCAGCTGTGCTCAGAGCGACGTCACCCTCTGCTTCCCTGGCACCTCCTGCGGCCAGGCCGGGCCCCGGGGCCTTCTGTGTCTCTGAGATCCCAGCAGCCCCTCCATGCCCCTCGCCCACAAGTGTGCCAGGCGGGCAGGGCTCAGGGGCGGCCTCGGCCCCCGTCAGAGCATCCCCACTGGGAGAAGGGGCCCCCAGGGCAGAGGTGGATGCGGGCACGTCCCCGGGAGCTGCTGGGGGGGCAGGGCCCCCGGCGCCCTCTGCCTGGGGTGGCCGGCGGCTGGCGCACGCGCCCCGGTGCTGTTCTCCTGAAGGAATTCTGTCGTCTGGAACCGAGTCCGCTTCCCGGTGGCTCCGGGCGGCCGCCTGTGCGCCAGCCGCTTTCTCCACGGGCGCCTCTGGCGAGGAAGGACCTGAAGCCGCCTCCTGCCGGCCGCTGCCCCGCAGGGAGCGCGAGTGGGTCTGGCCTCCCCGCCCCAGCCCAGCCCCCCGGGCCCCCTCCGGCTGCTCGCTGTCCTTCGGCACCGGGGGGCCCCCAGCCACGACCTCGCCCGCCTGGGCACCTGGCGGGTCCTGCCCCCCGCCCGGCTCTGCGTCCACGCGGAGGCCGGTGGGTGGGGCGGGCACAGGGGCGGCGGCCACGGCTGGAGTCCCGTCTGGAAGCTTCCCTGGGCTCAGCGGCCCGTCGAGGTCCTTGCCCCCCACACTCCTGGGGGCCCCCACCTTCTCTCCGGGTGCAGGTGCGCGCTGGGGCCGGTCGGCCAGGGCTCCGCGCACCGACGTCTCAAAGATCTTGGTGATGTGCTCCCGGAAGTCGGAGAACCCAGCGATGGGGCCGCTCTGCCTGGGGCTGGCGTCCACGCCACCCGAGGTGCCCCTGTCGGGGTCCTGGGGGGGTTCCCCCGTCCTGTCCCCGCTGCGCTCCGGGCCCCGCTCACTGCCAGGGCCTACAGGGACCTCGGGGGCCCGGGGGCCGGCTCCAGGTGCAGCTTCCTCCCCCCCTGTCACCTGCTCGCCACCGGCCGGAAGCGGCGTGCTGTCCAGGTAGGGCACAGGGTCCCCGGGCCCCTCAGAGGCCCCAGCCACAGGGACGTCGCCACGGGCAGCTCCGGGCTGCGAGAGGGAGGCGAGGTGGCCGGCAGCCAGCATCCCGGAGGCCGAGGTGGCATTTCCCGAGGCAAACGGGGGCTCCCCCAGGGGGCCAGGGCCTTCACCTCTGGGACCATCTTCTGCCCCTTTCCTGGGGGCGCCATCTATATGCAGGTAAGGGGTGTCCCGGGCAGCCTCCACCAGGGGCCCAGAGGGCAGGAGCCTCTCCAGGTCGGGAACAGCCTGGGCCGCGGGAGTATCTACCTGGGCTGTAGGAGTGTCCACGGTGCTGGCAGAGATAGTGTCCACCTGGGCTGGAGGAGTGCCCACCTGGGCTGTGGAAGTGTCCACCTGGGCTGGAGGAGTGTCCACTTGGGCTGTGGGAGTGCCCACCTGGGATGGAGGAGTGTCCACCTGGGCTGGAGGAGTGTCCACGGTGCTGGCAGAGATAGTGTCCACCTGGGCTGGAGGAGTGTCCACGGTGCTGGCAGAGATAGTGTCCACCTGGGCTGGAGGAGTGTCCACGGTGCTGGCAGAGATAGTGTCCACCTGGGCTGGAGGAGTGTCCACGGTGCTGGCAGAGATAGTGTCCACCTGGGCTGGAGGAGTGCCCACCTGGGCTGTGGAAGTGTCCACCTGGGCTGGAGGAGTGTCCACCTGGGCTGGAGGAGTGCCCACCTGGGCTGTGGAAGTGTCCACCTGGGCTGGAGGAGTGTCCACCTGGGCTGGAGGAGTGCCCACCTGGGCTGTGGAAGTGTCCACCTGGGCTGGAGGAGTGTCCACGGTGCTGGCAGAGATAGTGTCCACCTGGGCTGGGAGAGTGCCCACGGTGCTGGCAGAGGGCAGCTCGGTGTGGCCGGCTTCGCCCGGAGCAGGGGCGGGAGCCTGCTCCCCGGGGCAGGGCCGCTGCTCGGGCTGACGGATGCCACTGCTCAGAGTGCCTCCTCCTGGCTGGTCTGGAGGCGGCTGCACGCCCAGGTCCCCTCCGTCAGCGTCCTCAGCGGCCCGGGCAGCCGCACCCCCCACACCCCGCTCCTCCGCGGGTGGGCGACGTCCGAGACGGTCCGGGGCCCCTGCGTCCATCTCCTCCCGCGGGGCGGGCGCTGGCTGGGAGGCGCCTTCCCGGGGTTCACCCCCCGCCTCCCTCTCCGGGGCACCCCCTGTGGCTGTGAGGCCGGGGCTGGCGGGCGCCGGGGCGGGCAGGCAGCGAGCTGCACCCCCCGGAGCTCCTGAGTCAGGCCCGCGGGGCGGGGCCCCCGCCGTGTTCCCACTTGCCCCCTGCGTTGTGCCCACACCCTGACCCGGAGGCCAAGCCTCTGCGGCTTCAGACTCGCCCGCGTCGCCCGGACACGCTGCTCCACGCTGGCCGCCGGCCTCCCGCGCTCCAGGCTCCTGCTGGGACCCGGGGGGGCCCTGCCCAGCACGGCTCTCCTCGGTGCCCGGGCCCCCTGCCAGGGGCGAGGCCTGTGGGGGGTCCGCTGCAGGAAGCAGGGCCCCGGAGGGCTGGCTGGCACTGCCCGCCGCCTCTGGCCCAGGCCCCCCGAGCGCGGGCAGCTCTGACCGCTCCGTCACTGGGCTCTCCGGCTCGGAGTCCCCGGGGCCTGAACTCGGGGCACCAGGCAGCCTGCCCTCGGGGAGCCCACGCTGACGCTCCGATGTGGAGGCCGGCCCCTCTCCTCCGCGGGTGGGCAAGCTTGCATCCTCCCGCGGTGCCCGGGGCGCGGGGACTTGGGGAGCGTCCGCAGGGCCTGGATCACGCAGAGAGGCCTCGCGCTCACGTTCACACGGCCGCGCCTGCTCCCCGGGCACCTCAGAGGCAGCGGCGTCTGGCCCCGGCCGGCCTGGCTGGAGGGGGGCTCCCGGGGGCACAGCTGCTGGTCCTGGGTGCCCCGGGCTGTCCTGCTGATCGTGTCCCGGAATGAGCAAGTCCCCGGCCCCCCTCTGGCTCCCGTCACTGGTCACCTGGGAAGCCTCCTCTTTGTCCGTCTCTGGGTCAGGCCTGTGGCCGAGGGCCTGGGGCTGCTGTCCCCCCAGGTCCCCAGGCTCTGCCCCGCCGGGAGGCTCTGGGCCCTGCTCCTCTCCCCCCGGACCAGCCCTGGGTGGTTGGCTTCCCTGCTCTGCCCCACCTGGGCCGTCAGGGGCCTGGGCCTCATCCTGTGGCCACCGTGACTGGCTGGCGCCTTCGTCCGATGTGCTGGGGGGAGGGGGCGGCACCCCCTGCTGGACGTGGTGGCTCGGCTCCGTGTCCCAGGGCTGCCCGCTCTCCTGGGGCGCACGGGCAGGGCCGTCTCCCACACCTCTGAGATCTGACGGGCGCTCCTGTCTGGCCAACCACACATCTGCCGGTTCTTTGGCCGAATCTGTAAGCACGGCCACCTCGGGGCCGGACACCGTCTCCCGGGCCAGCCGGCCGGGTTCTTCTGCGGCCACAGGGGCCTGAGCGGCGGGCAGGGCAGCGGGTCGTGGCTCCTGGATGCCCACGGGCAGAGCCCCCTCGGGAGGGCCCCCTGCCGCCATGCCGACGGCATCACTGGGCTTGGCTCCCGGCACCCGTGTCTTCGAGGGGCACTGAGAGTCGCTGGCATCTACAGTCTCCGTCCCAGAGCCCCCGGTTCCTGGCCCCAGGGCAGGAGGCGGCGGGTCCTGGCGGCTTTCCTGGGGGGCAGCCCCGGAGATGCTCCCCGTGGGACGGCAGGCCCCCAAGTCCGCGACGAAATCCGGGCGCGGCCTCTCTGCTGAGCAGCTCCCTCCGCCAGGGGTGCTGGAGGCTGGCTCCTGGGGGCTGGGGGGCTCAGGCCTCGGGGGGCACTGCTCCAGGCCCGCTGAGCTCCCCTGGCCGGACGGGGCTGCAGGGGGGCTCGTGGGGGGCACCTGGACAGAAGCGGCCCCCCGCCCGGAGGCTGGCGGAGTGAGATCACCTGCAGCCTCTTCCCTCTGGGACTGGACACCCCGGGGCCGGCCGGCCTCCCCGCCCAGCGCTGCCTCCATCCGCCCTCCGGGAGGTGCTGGCGAAAGTCCTGGCGCCTGATCCCTGGACCTGAAGGAGGCTGACTCCGGCCCCTCTTCCTTCAGGGCTCCCACTCCTCCAGCCCGGGGGCCAGAGGCAGCCACCGTGCGCTGGACAGGGCAGCCCCCAGGAGGGGCGAGCGATGCCAGGGCGTCTCCCTGGGCCCCTGGAGAAGGCTGCCTCCCGGAGCGCTGAGCGAGGGGCTGGACGAGGGGCCAGTCCTCAGGCGCTGCGGGGGGGCTGACGGAGTAAACTTCAGGGGGGTCCTCGGCTCCGGGCATGGAGCTGGGGGTGCTCTCGGGCTCCCGGGGCGCTGGCGGGCTGGGCAGTGGAGAGCCGGCTGGGCCCCCGGCTTTCTGTGGGTGCTTCCTTGGCTCAGTCACCTCCGGGGACACGATGCCTGGATCCAGGCCGGCCGCACCCTCAGAAGCGGTGCAGGCGGCTCCTTGCGTGACGCTGCCAACAAGGAGAACAGGTCACATGTCATCGGGTCCCAGGATGCCAAGGACAGAGCCACACGCAGGCAGAACCACCCCAATGTGCCCCCAGAGGCCACAAACACAGCGCCCCCCGCACCTCATTCCTCCCCACGAAGAGAGCCCCCTACCCCTCCCATAACCATCGCACATGGCATCTCCTTCCCCAAAATCAACACGGGGGCCCGGCCGGTGGGGCTCAGTGATGGAGTGTCAACCTATGAACCAGGAGGTCAGGGTTCAATTCCCGGTCAGGGCACAGTCCCGGGTTGCCCGCTCGATCCCCAGTGGGGGGCGTGCAGGAGGCAGCCGATCCATGGTTCTCTCTCATCATTGATATTTCTATCTCTCTCTCCCTCTCCCTTCTCTCTGACATCAATAAAAAAATATATTTTTTAAAAGAATGGCTGAAAATTTTCCAAATATGATATAAACTAGATATCTACAGATCTAAGAATCTAACTCTAAGCACAAGAAACAAAAAGAGCCCTAGCCGGTTTGGCTCAGTGGACAGAGCGTCGGCCTGTGGACCAAAGGGTCCCAGGTTCAATCCCAGTCAAGGGCATGTACCTTGGTTGTGGGCACATCCCCAGTGGGGGGTGTGCAGGAGGCAGCTGATCGATGTTTCTCTCTCATCGATGTTTCTAACTGTCTATCCCTCTCCCTTGTCTCTGTAAAATCAATAAAATATGTATATTTTTAAAAGCACAAATAGGTTAAAAGGAAAAGATTCGAGGCAGGAGAATAAACCATGACAACACTGATCGAAAGGAAGCCGCGGTGTCCATATGATAAGGAACAGACGCTACCGGCGTAGGCGAGGCCCTCCCACTGTAAAGGGTCCGCTTCATACAGGACGCGAACGTCCTCAAAGTCCATCCAACACCAGATCTCAGCCCCCGACTGTGACCTGATAGTACCTGTCCTTTTCCAATAATCGATTGACATCGGGGGATAGCAGATCAGCGCGGACCCAGGGGTCCACCCAGCACCGTGGCCAACACGCCTCCCCCCCCCCTTCCCTCAGCACCAGCCAGGGCGGCCGGCGGCGTTCCATCCAGGCGCACAGGGCACGGCGAGGACACTGACCGCGTCCTGCACATCAAACAGCCGCGAGAAATCCAAAAGGATTCCAATTATGCGAAGTATGTGATCTGGCGACCGTGGAGTTACACCAGGAAGCAGGCGCAGAAGGCCGCCTGGAAAGTCTCCAACGGTCCGGGAACGAAATGCAAGGCTTCTAAGGCGCCCGTGAGTCCAAAGGAGAGACGAAGAGGGAAACGGGAAAGAGCTCGAACCAAATGACAACACAAGAGACCAAAAGTGCGGCAGAGGCTGGGCCTGCAGCGGCTTTTCACGACGGAGAGCATCGCTCCCCCGAGGAGCCAGCAAAGCCGGGGCCGCACGGCGACGCGGTCACACTGCACTCCTGCGGGTTCGTTAGGGGTCAGCGGTGTGCTGTGCAGGGTTAACATCACAATGAAACTAACAAAAAATCAACAAGCAGCAGCAGATAAAGACCGAGTCCATGAGCTGTTGACCTCGTTTCCGTGAGGGCTACCAACTGGCAGAACCGACCCGGAGGGAGCGGTCAGACCAGTCGTTAGTCTCCGGACAGGACGGACGGGCGGGGAGATGCTCTGGGCGATGGCGATGCTCGGACCCGGCGGAAGGGGGGACCCAGGTGCCGGGGGGTAAACACCCACCGAGCCCCCAGACTCCACTCCAGCGGGGGGTGTTTATACCAACGGGAAAAGATAACAATAAAGACACGGGCCCGGCCCGGGGGCTCCGTCATGGAGCGTCGCCCGACCTATGAACCAGGGGGTCGCTGGTTCGATTCCCGGTCGGGGCACAGGCCCGGGTGGTGGGCTGGATCCCCGTGTGGGGCGTGCAGGAGGCGGCAGGTTGGTGATGTTCCTCCCTCATCAATGTTTCTATCTCTCCATATTCCTCTCCCTTCCTCTCTCTCTAAAAATCAATAAAACATTTTTTAAAAACACCAACACCCCCATGGGGACAGGGAGAAGATCCGGGCGGCCAGCGGTTAGAAGGGAGGGAGGGGGCGAGCAGGTGGAGTGTGGGGGGCTTAAGGCCCTGAACCTCCTGTGACAGGTAATGGGGAGCACAGGCTACAGGGCGTCGCGCATTCGTCAGACCCATGGACTGCGCCCCACGGAGGGCCAGCCTCGCTGTGACTCCAGATGCCGTTGATGACGATGCACTGCATGGGGGCACGCGCTGCAGCGAAGGCAGCACGGATGCCGGGGGGGAGCCCACAGAAACCCGAGATGGGGGTGTGGGGGGTGGGGGGCGGGGGGGGCGGTTCTCGGTGCTGCTCGCGGCTCCGTCAGCCGGAGCTGCCCTCACGCAGCCTATTAACCCTGCAGATGTGCGTTCGTATCTAAGACGACAGGAGGAGGTATAAGCTGCTTTACGTAAACACGTCTCCTACTTAAAGGTGCCTAAACAAACGTGCAGACAGGCACACAGGCATCCCACCGTCAGGGAAGAACCAGAAAGAAGGGAAAGTCCGAGGGAACGCTAGTGTTTGGGGAGCCGTGGTCTGTAAATGGGGGAGTTGGTGACCCCGCACCCCCTCTCCCGTCTACTCTCCGCGTCCCTGTTTCCCACGTTGTTCCGTGAGGGGGTGTCGTCTCAGGAGGGCCCCTCCCCGCCACTCGGAGGCCCGAGCCAGCGAGAAGACCGGTGGGCCAGGCACTGAGGCGGCCTGACCGTCTTCCCAGCCGGTCGCCTCTCCTGTGGACGTCCTGCCGGAGAAGATAGCCAGTTAGGAGCGGACGGAGGCGGCGCTGCCAGCTGGGCCCACCCTGCCTGGGCCTGGGCCGGGCGTGGACAGGCCCGTCTTCACGGAGGCTGCTTGCCAGGCACAGGGAGCACCCGCCTGGGCCCCCGGCATTGCTGTCCCCAATCCGGGCCTTCCCTGCCCCTCCTGCTGTCCTTCAAACCAGTTCAAAGGTCACCGCCTTCCCTGACCCTCTCAGCCAGCCCTGGAGGGCGCAGCAGAGCACAGATTGCGGGGGCGGAGGGGGGTCCACCCCTAGAGTCTCTCATCCAGTGAGTCTGGCATCCCAGCAAGCACCCACGTGACGCTGAGCTGGCCAATCAGTCTAATCGACCCATCGACCCATCCATCGACGGGAAACCTCACCTTGAGAACCACCACCCATTCTAAACGGCCGCGTCTTCTCTGCTCCGTCCCTCACACCCACGTGGTCTGTGCGAGCCGACACTGTCTGAGAGGGTCTCTCCTCGAGGCCGACTTCCCCCAGACCTGCCTCCCCCTGGAGCCGAGACCCCAGGCCCCTGCTAAGGCTGTGGGCCCCGCGCCCTAACAGCGCCAGGCCCTGAGCGACGCCCATGGGCGTTTGCTGAAGGAAAGAACACAGGAGAGAAGGGAGGGGCAGGGGTCGGTGCCCCGAGTCCGGGGCCTTAATTAAGTTCCCAGAAATGCAGAAGAGAGTCCGCGGGTCGTTCCCGGGAGGGTAACCCCGGCCAGTGTTCCCCAAACTTCCTCATGAGCCTCACACGGCTTCTCACTAAAATCCGGCTCCTGGGCTCACCCACGTCTCCCCGTCCTGGTCCTGAAGGAGCGGCCGGGAACGGGGTGACTTAGCTGGCGACCAGGCAGAGCCGGCCACACCCCGTGTTTCCCCCATTTCCCTGCTCGCGGGAGCCGACGAGGGTGGGCGTTGGGAACACGGATTCCGGCTCCACAGCCAGCGGCTGTGATTCCAAAGGACCCGCGGGGGCCTGGGGACCCGTGTGTGTAACTGACATCCCCGTGAACCTTAGGACGGGGCCCGGCCGGCGGGCTCAGGGGCTGAGCGTCCACCTAGGAGCCAGGAGGTCACGGTCCGATGCCTGGTCAGGACACAGGCCCGGGTTGCGGGCTCGATCCCCAGTGGGGGGTGTGCAGGGGGCAGCTGATCCATGATCCTCTCTCATCACGGATGTTTCCATCTCTCTCTCCCGCTCCCGTCTTGACATCAATAAAAAAAAAGGCCCCAGACCCTTGAGGCCCCACTCTTCCCCCTTCTGCGACAAGAGCTCCACCAGGGAAGGCCGGCCTCTGAAATGCCCCCGGCTTCCCTGGGGCGAGCAGGCCGCGCTGACCCCCCAAGCTCCGTCCAGCCTTTGTCCCTGGTGTCCTCTGGGCGACCTGCAGCACTCGGAGGGTTTAAGGAAAGGGCTGCCCATCCCTGGCTGGTGGTCCCCCGGGAGGGAGAGGGAGTCTCCATGGATGGGGGCGGGGACCCAGGGCTGTTGTGCTCAGGAGTGGACAGGGGGGTCTCCCAGGACTCCCCCAATCCCGGCCGGGTCCGGCCAGTGCAGGGCCGAGTTACAACAGCGACACCGTGTGGCCACTGGAAGGCAAGGCAGTCGAACTGGGGCTCCCTGAGCGGGTCCAGCATTTGCCCCGCGGGGACCTGGGGGGCTGCTGTGCCGGTCGGAGGGAGGAAGGGCCTCCGAGGGTGGGGGCGGGGGGTGAGGACCATGGGCACAGGCGACACGGCGCTCCGAGCCCGGTTTCCCCCCAGAGCGGCGGTCACACCTGCGGTAGGGACGTGCTTCTCCTGCCTCCCGGCCCCGCCTCCTCCCGGCCCCGCCTCCTCCCGGCCCCGCCTCCTCCCGGCCCCGCCTCCTCCCGGCCCCGCCTCCTCCCGGCCCCGCCTCCTCCAGGCCCCGCCTCCTCCCGGCCCCGCCTCCTCCAGGCCCCGCCGCCTCCAGGCCCCGCCTCCTCCAGGCCCCGCCTCCTCCAGGCCCCGCCTCCAGCTCCCGTTGGCAGGAGCCCCGGGGCGGCTGTGTTTCTCCCGGAGGTTTTACCAGCAGGAAACAGAGACACTTTGAGGCCAAAGGCTCCTCCCATCTTCTGTACAAACCGGTAACACAGGGGTCCCCCCTCCCCCCCAAAAATGTACGCACATTTATCCTTTCTTTTCAGGTTTAACCCATTGGAATTAGTAATTATGCAAAGTGCACACTTGTGGGGGGACACCCTGTAGGTCCTTTGGGGAGAAAATGCTGCCTGAGCAGAGACCAGGTCTTAGAACGCGGGGTGCGGGCTGGTGAGTGCGGGGGCCTGAGGGACAGAGCGTGGGGCTGCCAGGGGTCCCCCAGGCCCAGTGTGGCCCCACGGACAGGGTGGCCGAGCAGGGGGCACCCAGGGGTGAGGGGCTGGCCGCTCGCCCTCGTTCCTGCGGGGTGAGTCCAGGGCCTCCCCATGGAGTTCCCGCGTTTAGGGGGAGAGCTGTGGTTTCGTGTGAGCAGCCAGTGGCTCCTCCGGGCCTGCTCTGCGAAGGCCCCCCGTTACGCTCACCCCGATGCCGGGAGACGGCTGTTCTTCAAGGGAAACAGTGATGGACGGAAGCTGGGGAACAAGACCCAGAGCCGGCGGTGGCCCCTCCAGGGAGCCGGGAGCCTCACCAGCGCCGGCGGCGGCTCCTGGGCCGAATTCCAGGGAAGAGGGTCCCTCCGCGAGCCGCACGGCCACCACAGCCCGTGCCCACCAGCCGCCTGGCCTCCTAGAACCAGACGGTAAAACCTGCGTCCAGCCACCCCGACAGGCTGTGGAAGTGGCGCGGGGCCACCGAGCTGCTGTCCGAGGCGCACGCTGTGCCCCGGCCCCCACGGCTCACCGTCCCGGAAGAAATCACACGGTTCCCAGGAGGTTCCCCTGGGAACCCCACCCAGAAATAGCACCAAAAGTCCGGCCACCAGGGGTCGCTCTCGCCCACGACCGGCCACAGTTACAGCCACCGCTGCGAGGGCTGCTTCAACCCTTGGGGTGAAAAGCTACTGCCAAGCACTGGGGACCCAGCTTCCCTGTCTATTAGCATCGCGGGGGGCGGGGGGAGACCTGTCAGTCAACTGTTCGCCTTCGCCCCTCGGGCTCCAGCTCGCGCCTTCCTCGGGGCCTGTGACGACCGCCTCCCGGAGGCTGGGCTTCCACCGTCCAGTGGGCTTCTGATCACATCATGTGCTCAACCCACTGGCAATTATCATTATTTTAAATATGTTTTTATTGATCTCAGAGAGGAAGGGAGAGAGATAGAAACACCTATGAGAGAGAGAATCACGGGTCGGCTGCCTCCTGCACGCCCCACACTGGGGATCGAGCCCACAACCCAGGCCTGTGCCCTGACCAGGAATCGAACCCTCACCTCCTAGCTCAGTGGTCGGCAAACCGCAGCTCGCGAGCCACATGCGGCTCTTTGCCCCCTTGCGTGTGGCTCTTCCACAAAATACCAGCTTCTGTGCATGGGCCATGAAGTTTCAATCACACTGTACGTGTGTTCCCACACGTGGTATTTCGTGGAAGAGCCACACTCAAGGGGCCAAAGAGCCGCATGTGGCTCGCGAGCCGCGGTTTGCCGACCATGATCCTAGTTCATAGGTTGACGCTCAGCCACTGAGCCACGCTGGCCGGGCAACCCTCTGGCAATCATGAGTTGCCTCCAGTGTGCCTGGCCCGTGTCCTTCCTGGGGCCTGGCCGTTCCCATCTGCTGGCCGCTGCTGGGAGGGACCCAAAGCTGTGGGTGCCAAACACGGCTCGGGGGGCGCCCATCAGACTCTTCCCAGCAGTCGGCAGGGAGCCAGGCCCTGACTGTGGGTCCACACGGAGCCGTGACCGATGGGCCACCTGCACTGGCCACATGTGGCCGCATTCCAGGCAGCATGTGGCCGTGTTGTTTCTGGAAGTCACCCGCCTCCGGGGACTGAAGGCGCCGGCCACTCAGTCACAGTTCTGGGCGCACCCCCCTCCCCCCCCCGTCTCACCCACGGGGCCTGCAGTGAGGGGGTCAGAGCAGGTCCCCAGGGCGAGCCACTTGTCATGAGGGTCACTTTTGATGTTGTTGATCCTCACCCGAGGCTAGATTTCCATTGATTTTTAGAGAGAATAGAAGGGAGGAGGAGAGAGAAACATCGATGTGAGAGGCACATCGATTGGCTGCCTCCTGCATGCACCCCAATCGGGGCTGGGGGTGGACCTGCAACCGAGGTCTGTGCCCCCAACTGGAATCGAACCCATGACCCGTCAGTCCTTGGGCCGGCGCTCTAACCACAGAGCCACACTGGCCGGGGCTGGCATGAGGGTCATTCTGACCTAAAAGGAATGGGGACCTTGCAGTCTCCAGAGAAGCGTCTGCCCCCCTCACCCCACTTACCACCTGGAGGTTTAAATGAAGGGCTTTGCCCACGATAAGATTTATGACCAGAGATAAGGCTCTGTGCCCTGTCCGCGTGGCAGTTAAACACGTAATTACGGGGCCTGTCCTGCTGATGACCCTCCTCTCCGAGGCCCAGGGCCCTCCCCGCGTCCTCGCCCAGGTCACAGGTGCCTCGTTTTACCTGCCGTCTCTCAGCCTCTCGTGTGTGTGTGGGAGGGGGGGGGTCTGACTCTCTCATGGGGGGTGTGTGGGGGGTAGGTGTGCGGGGGGATGGAGGTGTGTGTGGGGGGGGTCTGACTCTCTCATGGGGGGGGTGTGGGGGGGTCTGACTCTCTCATGGGGGGGTGTGGGGGGGTAGGTGTGCGGGGGATGGGGGGTGTGTGTGTGGGGGGGTCTTCTATGCACACAGTAGGTCATTACATTGGGTTCTTTTCTCCTGTGATCTGTCTCCTGTTGACTTGATGGCTAGACCAGCGGGAGGACCTGGATGAAGAGGGAAAGGTCCTCCTCCCCCACAGCCGGCCCCACGTGGGACCGGGCGCCCCTGTGAGCGCCTCGGGGGCCCCCTCTACGTTAAGTCTGACAACGAGCACACACCTGGCACTGCTGGCAGGGAAGCCTGTCGTGACCAGCTCCGTCTCTGGCAGAGAAGCGTTAATGCTCCCACCGCGCAGGCTAGGCCGTCACAGGAGGCCTGTGAGCCGCTGTCTCGAACCCCTTACCACTGAGGAGCAGGCCTGGGGCTGGGGGTCAACTTTTCCAAGCATGTGCTGAGCAGGCAGTGGGCCGGCCACATGGGTCCTGGGGCCTGGCTCCTACCTGGGCGCGTCTCCGTGGCCCGCGCTCCTGGGCTGTTCCTCCGGCTTCCTCTTCGCGCTCTGACTGGTCCCGGGGGGCTGCAGGGACCCCGGACTCGGCGCTGATGAGGTCCTCTGAGCCGGGAAGAGAAATCAGAGAGGAAATCAAATAGGAATCTCTGAAAACACCAACACATTTCTCCATGGGCCTCTGACCACAGCCCTCAAGGGCTGGACCATTTACCTGGCCGTCCCACTGAGCACCCACCCACGGGGCAAAGCCACACTTTGAGGACAAGGGGTAGCAGAGCCTGGCGGCCCCTGCCGTCATCTCACGGAGCAGAGACGGCGGTTCCGGGGGAGGATCTCTGCGTGAGTGAGGAACCAGGCAGGCACCTCCCCACGTGGGGGTCCTCCGCTCCCTGGAGACAGTGGGCACATGTCCTCTAAGACCTGAAAGGATCCCGTGTGTTTGGGTCACGCATTTTCCTCCCCCAACCGTGGTTTTGCTCAGCAGAATTCAGCTGGGAAACTAGGGAGAAGTTAGGGACGGAGCCCTGGCCAACTGGGCTCAGTGGGTAGAGCGTCGGCCCCTGGACTGAAGGGTCGTGGGTTTGACCCCGTAACGGGCATGTACCTCAGGTGCAGGCTCGATCCCCCGCCCCAGTAGTGGCCCGTGCAGGAGGCAACCAACCAGTGTGTCTCTCACGTGTCAGTGTCTCTCTCTCTCTCTCTCTCTCTCTCTCTCTCTCTCTCTCCCCCCACTCCTTCCCTTCCTCTCTCTCTAAAAATCAATGGAAAAAATATCCCCGGGTGAGAATGAGCGACAACAAAGTGTCCCTCGTGGCTGCACGGCTGAAAATGTTCCCTATCGTCCCCCAAGAATCACAGCACAGAGGGAGCGACATTTTCACATGAGGGGCCCGGGTTTTTAGAACCGGAACCCGGCCCTGCTTGGCTGAGGGCACAGGGGCCTGAGCAGCAAACGCCTCCGCAGCCAGGCCTCCGCCCCTCCCGTACCCCCTGCCGTGGGTGATTCCCCAGCATGTGTCAGACACGGCTCCTGCCCGCCAGCCACGGTCAAGGCCACTTCAAGGTTGTTCTGAAGAGACACCGCATGGCTCACAGGCAGCGGCGGCAACAGGGGGGGCGGGGCCAGATCTTCGCTCCGACTCGGGGCCACGGGGGCCACGGGGGCCACGGGCCGACCTTCCTCGGGCACAGGAAACAGGCCCTGGCTGAGCTTCCTCCTTGAAGAAGCAACGAGGCCCGCCTCCCCCAGCAGGACGCCAGGGGAGCCCCCCCCCCCCCCATCCCGCAGACAATGGGTGAGGAGAGAGCAGCAGCACGGCCCAGGGGAAGGCGTCACACTTTTCAAGTTCGGTGCCAAGGCGCTGAGGGCGGAGCAGGCGGGAAAGGGACATCCGTCTTCCGTGTCCCGGGGAGAAGCCAGGCTGTGGGGGAGCTGGGCCAGGTCTCGCTCCACAGTCATAACACCCCCCTTGTTAACCAACGTCACCCCAATAAATGCAATGATAAGAACACCCAGTGCCTACGCGACACTTCGCCTGCAGGAGCCATCGCAGCACACGGGTCACAATAACAGTCCGTGTGCGAGTTCCCACTCACTCAGGCCTCACAACAGCCGTTTCACCGGCAGATCCCTGAGCACAGAGACAGGAAGCCACCGGCCCAAGGCCACACGGCGGGCAGCAGGGGGCCAGGACGTGGACTAGAGGGTTTGGGTCCGGAGCCTGTGCTGCTGACCCCGACCTCACGCTGTGTCTGCCGACGGTGGACACGGCTGCACGTGGTCACTGCCCCCTCCCTGCCTCGCTCCCAGCGGCTGAGACAACTGGACGCGACTGCAGAACGCGGCCCAGGGTCACCCCCGGAACAGCCTGGCGGAGAGGCGTCCAGAAAGGCCATGAAGTGTGAAACGCGATCACCCCCTCCGCCTGGAGCCGTCTGCCAATTGGCGAAGCGCACCCCGCCCTCGGAGCCCTGGCTTCTGCCAGGTCCGCCAGCGTCCCGTCCTCCTCCTGCCCTGGCTGAGTAAACACAGCCTCTCCCTGGCTCAGGGCCTGCGTCTGCGTTAACAGGCATGCAGCGTGCCAGCCTGGGAAGGACACTTTCCCAGGAGACCAAGTGTTTCGTCATCAAAAAAAAATTCCCACCTAACCGGTGTGGCTCAGTGGGTAGAGCATTGGCCCGAGGGCTGAAGGGTCCCGGGTTCGAATCCGGTCAAGGGCACATGCCTGGGTTGTGAGCTTGATCCCCATTAGGGGGCGTGCAGGGGGCAGCTGATCCATGATTCTCTCTCCTCATTAATATTTCTGTCTCTCTCTCCCTCTCCCTTCCTCTCTGAAATCAATAAAAATCTATATTTTTAAATCCCGTGATGTTACCTCTTGGACATGGGCCATCTCTCTAGACCGTGGCTCCCTGGTTGTGCCAACCAAGGGCTCCTGACGTGGTTAGACTGGACCAGCGTCTTGCCGACGCGCCCCCTCTCTGCCCGAGCTTCGGGGAGCAGTGCGGCTGCCAGTGAGGCCAGACGGGAGCAGAGGTCACCCACGACATGGGCTCTGGCTTCAGAGCCACTGCCGGCCCCCAAACGCGCAGCAGGGCCCATGCTGTCCCACGAGGCCCCGTCCAGTCCAGGCCTGTGAGGCCGTCCCAAACGTCTCCACCTCCGAGGCGGAAAGCCAAGATCGGAGCAACTCGCCACAGCGGCCTCCAGGGTCTCCGCGGGCGCCCGGCCAGGCCTCGAAGGAGGAGGCCCCAAGGGTGGGATTCAGGCCTCCCCCACGGGATGTGGTAGAAAAATGAACAAGCTTTAGGTCAGAGAGCGCTGGGTTCGAATCCCCCGTTCCCTGGGGGGCGGGCACCTTTCCTGCCAAGGGCCATGTGGATCTGACCGCATCCTTCGAGGCCGCACAAAACGACCAGCTGAACCAGCGCCTGCCCTGTTTGGTCAAACAATTAATCAGCTCACCCGATGCCTTGGCAGGGCCAGACCCAGCGATGTCCTTGGCCTTGTACGGCTCAAGGGCCGGACGTTCCCCACCCCTGGATCGATAGACCACAGCTCGTTTATCCAGTCGTCTGTGCTTCTAAAAATGTATGTTTATTGATGTCAGAGAGGAAGGGAGAGGGAGAGAGAGAAACATCAATGACGAGAGAGAATCATGGATCGGCTGCCTCCTGCACGCCCCTCTCTGGGGATCGAGCCCGCATCCCAGGCCTGTGCCCTTGACAGGGAATCGAACTCTGACCTCCTGGTTCATGGGTCGATGCTCAGCCCCTGAGCCACGCCGGCCGGGCTGGCTGTTCTGAATTAACATCGTCTTGGATTCCCAGCCGCTGCAATTGGGCCAAAAGCAAATAAACAAACAAATGAAACGGACAGGGATCTGAAGAGCGGAAATGCCGCTCTCCCTGCAAACGCCACGCCGTACCCGTCTACAGAGAGCGTGCCAGGGATCGGCCACAAATCTCACGGCACTAACCAGCCAGTTCACAAAATCACAGGACACGGGCCATCCACCCGCAAAGTCAGCACCCTGACAACGCGCCTGCGGAAACCCACGTGAAAGCATGACGCCCCTCACCACCACCGCAGAGAAAACGAAACGGGCACAACCTCGGACGCACACAGAATGTGTCCGCTGAGCCTGATGAGCCGGGAGACGAATCCAAGGGACCTTCATGACGAGACACACCACGTGCTCATGGACCGAAGACTGGACGGAGGCAGGACGTCAGTTCTCCCCACATCGATCTATAGGTTCCTTCCTAGCTCGATCCCAGCAAAGGATTTTGTAGACACAGAAAAGCTTACCCTACAATTCACATAAACAGCCGTCGGCCCTGGAATAGCTAAAGCAATCTTGAAAAATCGCCAAGCGGAAGGAATCGCTCTACCCGGCCTCAGCCATCGAGAGCTCAGGGGAGCCGCGGGAGAGAGACACGCAGATCAGCGACACGGAGAGAAGCAGAGGCAGCCCCACAGAGCACGGCCAGCTCCTGGTCTCCAGGGCAGGAGACCAGTTCCCACACGGGGGCTGACGGGTGAGCGGGGACGGGCCAGACACACACCCCCGCGAACCTCAACCTGAATCTCAGGCCTTCCACACAAAACGCACTCAAATGCGTCATGGATTTAACTATAAAACTACAGAATTTTTAGAGAGAAAATTGTCAGGACGTCAGGGCTGCACAAAGAGTTCTTGGGTTTGGAGCCGAAAGCCCTGCCCGTGATGGGAAAGCTGACAAACGTGCCTCCTAGAAGCTGCCTGCGAAGACCGTGCTCAGAGGACGGACGCGGAGCGGGAGTGGGAGGAGGGATTCGCAACCACGTCTGGCGAAGGGTGGTCTCCGGGCCGTGGAGAGAACTCTCGAGACGCAACAGTGAAAAGAACGCGGTTAGAAGACAGACACATGAGCATGTGTTTCACCGAGAGAATCGCAGATGGCAGTGAGCTCATTACGACGCCCGACATCCGCTTACAGGGAACACACAGCAGAGCCGCCCCGGGAGCCGCCCCACGCATGGCCTGGCCTTGCCCAGCGGTGGCAGCGCCAGGGGAGGCAGACCCGACCGGCCCACCCTGCCACCCCGATGGGCCCACCCCGCGGAGGGAGAGGGGGCAGGGGGAGGGATGTGACGGGGCGAGCGGTTCTAGGAACACAGCTTGGCGGCCCCCTCTCACTGCACACGTGACGACCATCCGACCCGGCAGGGCCCCTCGGGCATTCGTCTCGCGAAGTGAAAACATGTGCACACAGAAGCCGCAGGCGAACGGAACGCTCGCGGCAGCTGCGCATGTGACGGCCCCGACCCGGGAGCAACCAGATGCCCCTCGATGAGCGACGAGCGAGCGGCCGTTCCCGCGTCCCAGGGACGGTGCTCGGCAGTGAAAGGGAGCCGACGCTGGCCCTGGCCGGTGTGGCTCAGTGGATAGAGCACCCGCCTGCAGGCAGGAGGGTCCCAGGTTCGCTTCCCGTCCAGGGCGCGTCCTTCGGGTGCAGGCTCGATCCCTGGTCAGGGCCCATGCGGGAGGCCACCCATCAATGTGCTTCCCTCACATCGATGTTTCTCTGTCTCTCCCCCTCCCTTCCTCTCTCTCTAAAAATCAATGGGAAAAACATCCTCAGGGGAAGACTAACCAAAAAAATAAAAAGGGACGGATGTCTGGCGCACGCAGCCGCCTGGGTGGGTGGGAGGGAATTCCGCGAGCGGACACAGCCCGTTCCCCGAGGTCCCGTCTGCGTGACTCCGGCCGACTATACAACAGGCTCAGATGTCGAAATGAGAGAGAACAAATGCGGGGCGGCCGGGGGTGGAAGTGGGGGACCAGAGGAGGTGGGGGTGGCTCTGAGGGTAAGAAGAGGCACCCTCCTGGTGATGGGGCTGCTCCATAATTTTTTAAAATACATTTTTATTTCAGAGAGGAAGGGAGAAGAAGAGGGCGATAGAAACATCAATGAGGAGAGAGAATCATGGACCTGCACGCCCCCCACTGGGGACCAAGCCTGCAACCTGGGTATGAGCCCTGAGCGGGAATCGAACCCGGGACCCTTCAGTCCGCGGGCCGACGCTCTATCCACTGAGCCACACGTGCCAGGACGGGATGCTCCACAGCTTGGCATTATCTGTCAGCGTCGGCTGTGGTACCAGAGTTTTACAGGATGTTATCCATTGATGTTACCAGGTAAAGGAAAAAAAAAAAAATCGTAGGTAAAGGGTCCATGAGATTTGTCTGTATCATTTCTTAGGGCAGCGTGTGCATCTCCCATTATCTCAAAAGGAAAGTTTAATTATAAACAATTAAGATTTCATGGGAAAGAAATGTGGGCTCCTGACCCCCTTGGAGAAGGGGGGGTCCTGTCACAGGGGCTCCCGTGCCCACACGCATCCATCGGCCGAGTGGAGGGGCCGCCCCCCCAGACAGCAGGACGGGAACCCTCTGCCGCCACAGTCCCTCCCGCTCCCCCGTCTCACGCCCCGCGTTTAACGGAGGACTGTTTCCGGCCGCCCCGGACGCCTGGTGTGGCCCCTTGTCTCTGAATGATTCTCGTTTTCCTGCTTCAGACAAGGCGGTGGCCCGGAGGCAGAGGCTGCGGGAAACACAGTGAGATGAGCCGGCCTTTTGCACCCTTTTCTCACTCAAAGACTTCAGTACCGGTCGCCCAAGTTCCGCTGAGAGAGACGAATGGGAAGTGTCTCCGCGCCTTCGTTCACCAGGGCGGGGACTTCGCGTTCCAGACGTAAACCGGGGAGCTGAAGGCTGGTGCGTCTGAACGTCCCAGCCGCACGCACAGCCCAGCAGCTAGAGCCCGTGCCTCAGTGGCGAGAACCCTCCCAGCCCGGAGGCGACGGTTCCAGGTCCATTTGCTCAACGTTGATCGACGATAAAACCACTTTTAGGGCCAAACGCCATGTGGGGGAGGCGTGCGCGAGAGGCCTGCGTTTCACCGCCTCTGCACGCCCAGGTCAGCTGATGGGAGGGGCGGGGAGGGCACGAGCCAGGAAAAAGAGGCCAAACTCTCACTCTATTAAGTTTAAAGCACAGACTGGAAAGAACAACTAGTGCTTATAGCACCAGGGCTCGCCTTCAGCCGGGAATCCTGAGGATGAAATGAAGGCGCCCCACCGGCCCCCGTGCCCCACGCGTCAGGCTCGCTCCCCCTGGGCCGCGGGCAGGAGGGGGGGGACAGCGGGGCCCAAGGGGCCGTCAGAAGGAGCCCTGCCACCCACCTGGCTCTCCGAGGCGCTCTGCTCGTTGCCCATGGCCAGTCCCGGTGCCCAGCGTCCCGCGGGGTTTAGCAGAGGCGCCTAGAAGACAAGAGGACATTCAAGTCTCTTGACTTGAGGCTGGAGCCGGTCTCCCCGCCACAAGCCGGACGGCGGACGTGTTTGTCCCGCAGCCCCGTCACGGACACGCTCTCGGAGGGTTTCCTCTGCGGTTTGCCACCCAGGCCTGTTCCCAGGACCCGCGGGCGTCTGGACTCCCTGCTCAGGGTTGGCAGACGCCTCAAGAAAAAGGGTTTGCTGCTGCATCGCTGAGTTCATGCCAATCCACACACACACGTCCACATCCACACACACATCCACATACACATGCCCATCTACACACACATGTCCATCTACACACACGTCTACCTACGTACACACACGACCATCTACACACACATGTCTACCTACACACACACGTCTACTACACACACACGTCCATCTACACACACACGTCTACCTACGTACATACACGACCATCTACACACACACGTCCACATACACACACATCTATCTACACACGTCCATCTACACACACACGTCCACATACACACACACGTCTACTACACACATCCATCTACACACACACGTCCACATACACACGTCTATCTACACACGTCCATCTACACACACACGTCCACATACACATGTCCATCTACACACACACGTCTACTACACACATCCATCTACACACACACATCCACATACACACGTCTATCTACACACGTCCATCTACACACACACACGTCCACATACACACACGTCTATCTACACACGTCCATCTACACACACACGTCCACATACACACATCTATCTACACACGTCCATCTACACACACGTCCACATACACACGTCTATCTACACACGTCCATCTACACACACACGTCCACATACACACGTCTATCTACACACACATGTCCATCTACACACACACGTCTACCTACAGACACACGTCCATCTACACACACACATCCATCTACACACGTCCATCTACACACACATACATGTGGCATGACGGAGCATGTGGGGAGCGTGGCTGCAGGACACGCTCTTTCTAACGGTGGGCCGTGCGGAACCAGAGCGCAGGGCTCAGATCCAGCATCAGGAGGCGCGAACCCCACTTCTCTTCAGCAGCCGTATTCTTTATGGCTTTTCCTCTAACCATGAGTTCCCGTGTCTAGGGGGCCGGGCGGACGGGAAGGAGCCGCCCCAGGGCGAGCAGCGGGACAGGGGGCCCCGAGGTGACGCTGTGCACTGGCCGTCCTGTGGGGAGGGCGCTGCCGCAGCCTCAGAGAACCCAGGCACGGAGAGCCTCACGCACCAGACTCTCCGCCGGGGAGGCCAGGGTCTGTCCAGGGCGAGCGCTGGAGGCCGGGCGGCCCAGGGCCCGGTTCTGGGGAGGCCGACGCTGGGCGGAGCTCAGTCTCCTTCCTTCTCGCTCCAGGTGTCCTGCTGGCCAGGCGCCGGGCTCCCTGCCGTCCTCACACACACCTGTCCCCACCCGCTTCCCCCGACGCTGCCCGAGCAGCGACCACAGCTCTGGCTCCTGTGCAGCAGCCACCAAACATACAACTGCGTGTGGAGAGCGGCCACAGCGTTCGGACAGGCTCAAGCCCGGGACTAATGAGAGGGCACGGTCCTCTCCTGGCAAAGCCACGTGCAAGTCCCAGCACAGTTACAGCCGAAGGCTATGGCTGTGAGCTTGACCGTATGGTCCGCACCTGTGGCCCACGTGGCTGAGTGATGTGGGCTGCGGGAGGGGCAGCAAGTAAACAGAGCTGGACCAGGTGCATGTAACTGAGTGGATTCGAAACCTGCGAGAACGTGTGACCACGCCCTCACTTTGCCGCGTGGAATATGCTATAAAATAAAGACTCGGCTCGCAGGCCGTGGCGCTGTCTCCATCAGAGAGCAGCGTCCCACCCAGCCCCAGCTCTCTTCTCTTGTCTGTCTCCTCCATCCTTCACCGCCCCCCCCCCCCCTCAGGCTCATTGAATCTGGCTGTGCCTGGCCCACTACGCACCTTGAATGACCCCAATTAAAATGCCCCAAACTGCCCGGCGGGCGTGGCTCAGTGACTGAGCATCAACCCTGAGCCGGGAGGTCATGGTTCCATTCCCGGGTTGTGGGCTCAGTCCCCAGTCGGGGGCATGCAGGAGGCAGCCGATCCATGATTCTCTCTCATCACTGATGTTTCTATCTCTCCCTCTTCCTTCCTCTCTGACATCAATAAAAACAAATAAAATGCTCCCAAACTGAGAAAATTGTGACGTCAATTCTCTCACTCCCAACCCTTGAATCAAAAGACAATCCCTTTAGTCCCTTCTCGCCATTTGCTGTGTATAAGATGGACCCCTCCCTGCCCCCGCCAATCACAGGCTGACCTACAGCACAGAAACGAGTCACCAATGAAAACCCATCCCTTCAGGTTACTTTCCCACGTTCACGGGAAAAGCAGGCTCCTTAGGAAGAACAGGGGACAATCGCTGTGCCCCCGGCTGTCAGGGTGACTTCCCGTCGCACCAGCTGGGACCCAGCGGCTGGGACTTCACCAGGTGCTTCAAGGAAACAGTTTCTGAGACTCTGCCTCCTTCACCAAATTCAATTCCCTCCTCTTATTGGAAAGCAGAACCTCCGGACCAGCTTTTAGAAACGGGTCCGCAGACTAAGAAAACAGCAGAACCACGTCTGCTCCGTGTGAGTCTCAGAGCAGCCCGGCCGGTCCGGACGCGCCCCCTCCCGCTCCCCACTCCCCACTGTTCCAGGGGCCGGTCAGCCCCGCCAGCTACTCACGTTCGCTGGGGAAGGCCTGGGACTGGGGAAAGGCTGGCTCGGCGATGGGACTCTCTCCTGGCAGGAGCGGGTGCGGTCTGAGCGGAGCTGAGCGCACGGCCGTCTCCACCCCACGCGGACGCCACCAGCTGTGCCTCATACCTGGGCTGCGATTGCACACACCTGCCCCCGGGCTCCCCGCCCAGGCCGCTCCCCCTCGGAAAGGCCAGCCGCGCACGCACGCCCGCCCGCCCGCCCGGTGGCCGCCCTGAGGGCGCAGGAGGCCCCGGTGGGTGCGGGCGGTCGGGAAGGGACACGCCTGGCTGTCGAGGAAGGAGAGACGTGCTCCCGGCTCTGTGTGCACCTGGAAAGCCACGTAAACGACGGGAAAGACGGAGAAAACGTGTGGAAACGGGCGGCGCCACAGCCGGCACCTGCTGTGTGTGGGGGGGGGGGCGGGGCAGGGTGCGCTGACGGGCGAGGCCAGAGTTCCACCAGGTGAGGTCATGAGAGCAGCCGGCTGGCCCGCTGCTGCCGGTCGGACCTGCCACGGGTGGGAGGAGGCCCGGTGCCCTCGGTGGGACCCACGGGCAGCCGCCCTGGCCAGCCGCTCCCCCCGGGGGCTCTCAGTGCCGACCTCCGCTCGTGCCTGCACGCAGCCAGCTGTGCTCTGTCTGCGAAGGCTTGTGCAGAGCCTCACCCCGCACAGGGCGCGACCCGACCCCGGCAGGGGAGAAGCCGGCGCCTCCTGGCGGCTGCGGAGGGTCCGGAGTGGCTGGAGGGGGAGCTGGGTGTGGGGGGCCGGTGCCCACTCCCGTTCACACAGAAAAGAAGTGTGTGTATTTGCACAGGTGAGCGGGTCAGCAAACTGATCTCACCACACGATGGAACACGACTCGGCCCGGAAAAGGAGCGGGCTCCACACAGGCTCCGATCGAGAACCTCGAGGGCAGGGGTCCTCAGACGTCTTAAACCGGGGCCAGGTCACTGTCCCTCAGACCGTTGGAGGCCGGACTATAGTTTAAAAAAAAACTATGAACAACTTCCTATGCACACAGCGGCGGCAAAAACACCCGGCGGCCGGATACATGTTTTCGGCGGCCGCTTGTGGCCCGCGGGCCGCAGTTCGAGGACGCCTGCTCGAGAGCATTGTGCCAAGTGAGGGGAGCCGCACACAGGCCGTGTTGTGTGAGCGCGTGTGTGTGAGCGCGTCCTGTGAAGTCCAGGACGGGCGGGCAGGAGGCCGGGGGGGTTGGCGGCTGCCAAGGGCTGGGGGTGGGGGTGGGGGGGCAACTTCTGGGGGGGCTCAGGCTTTTATTTCGGCAGGACGACAGGTTCTGGAACGAGACAGGTGGCGGCTGCACAACACTGAGTTGTTTTTTGTTGTTGTTTTTTTTTAAATATATATTTTATTGATTTTTTTACAGAGAGGAAGGGAGAGAGACAGAGAGCCAGAAACATCGAAGAGAGAGAAACATCGATCAGCTGCCTCCTGCACATCTCCCACTGGGGATGTGCCCGCAACCCAGGTACATGCCCTTGACCGGAATCGAACCTGGGACCCCTCAGTGCGCAAGCCGATGCTCTATCCACTGAGCCAAACTGGTTTTGGCAACACTGAGTTTTTTAAATGCCACTGAATCGCTCGCTTTAAAATAGTTAATTTAGAAATACATAGACTTTTATTGATGTCAGAGAGGAAGGGAGAGGGCGAGAGAGAGAAGCATCCATGATGAGAGAGAGTCATGGACCGGCTGCCTCCTGCACGCCCCCCACGGGGGATGGAGCCCGCAACCCGGGCCTGTGCCCCGACCGGGAATGGAACCCGGGCCTGTGCCCCGACCGGGATGCTCAACCTGAGCCCCGCTGGTCCGATTAAGAGAGTTGACTTGAATGCTGTGTGAATGTCGTCTCCATTTTTGTATGAGTGTGGTTTTCACGCCTTGAGGTTCTGCACGGGGTGTTTGAGGGAACGGCTCCCGACGCCGTGGGGAAGCTGGGCGAGCGCGGCTTTGCGTGCTGTCGCCGGTTTCTACTCGACGACGGAGTGGAGGCGTGGGAACAGGACGCGTGCCCCCCCCTCCCCCCATCACAGAGACTTTTGCTAGAGAAGACAGTCTTTTTAAGCGAAATGTCTCGGATGAGCCAGCTGGGCAGGACAAGGTCCCGGCAGGTCTGCCCCAGCGGGCAGTCAGAGCGAGAGCCCCTGTGATGCGATTCCTCCGTGAGCCCCCGCCCCCCGCCCCCGTCATCCCGGAGCCTCACAGCAC